AGTTATTGTGAGCCCTATTCTGCAAACGAGGAAACAAACCGGTCTCAAAAAAAGATAAGTGACTTGCCCAAGTTCACAGGGCTGGTAAATGGCAGAGCTATGCCTCAGAAATAGTTCTTTCTGACTCCAAAATACCAGCGGCCTGAGACTCAAAGAAGGGACATTCCCCGTCTCATCTTCCATGGGGCTTGGCAGGTGGCTGTGGTGGGGCATAATTCTTCAGGCCCCCGAGGGTGGCTGTTGGACCTTGTGGTTGTTCCAGATTTTCCGCGGCCGCCCACAAACCTACAGCTGTTTGAGGAGGTCCCCAACACGGTGACTCTGACCTGGAACCACAGCCCTGACGTGCAGGAGGATAGTGAGGCCCACTACGTCATCATGAAGCGGGATGCCAGCAGCCCCACCTGGTTCACAGCAGCGGAGCGCGTCTTCAGCAACAAGTACACGGTGACCGGGTTACTCCCTGGCAGGAAGTACTACTTCCGAGTAGTGGCCCGGAACGAAATCGGTGACAGTGACCCACTCGACTCCAAGGATACCTGGCTCATCGTCAAGGACAAGAGTGAGTCAGGAAACTCGGGGGTTTGGGTTATATCCCTGATGGCAGGGATGACATAGGGATTGCCAGGGGTACCCGGGGTTTGAGGTAAAATCTGAGAACCACTGAGGCGGAAAAGGCTAACGTCAGGGATGCTGGGAAGAGAAGTAGTGATCCAGAAGCCTAGAGGAGGAACTACCTTGTACGTACTCTGAGGGGGTGGAGGTGGGGGGGCGCCCTTGGGGGTGGGGATGACAGTGGAGGTGGGGGCGCCCTTGGGGACGGGGAGGACAGGGGCGGGCCGGCTGTTTAGAGCTGAGACGTGGTCCCCTGAGCCAATGGGTCACGGGGATGAGGGCTGGGGATGATGTCCAGGAACCCTGGAGGGAAGGGGCTAGGGGTGGAGATAGCGTCAGGAAACTGGAAATGAAGAGCTAAATGGAGACTAGCAGAGACCACGGAGGCTGACCTGATGCTGGAAAAGCTCGGATGGAAGTTAACAGCTCGGTCGGGAAGCTGACAGCTGGAAAGAAGTTAGGACCCCTGGGTCTGGAAAAGCGTGAAATCCCACGCACTGGGTTTTGATAGTGGAGCCCTGGAATGACAAGGGAGTGGGAGGGTGGCTGAATGGAACCTCGGGTGCCGGCGTAAGGTCAGGGCCCCAGAGTTGAGAGGGCGTGGGAATGTAGCCCAGGCCTGGGGGGCTCCGGGGAGCCTTCGAGCTCTCAGCGGGCGGGCATTGGCCGGGGTCCCAGGCGCGCTCACAGCCCACCGCGTCCCGCCCGCGCAGTCGAGGACCTGAGCGCCAAGCTGAAGCCGTATGAGCAGAAGGACTGGCGCCACGCACCGCGCTTCCTGATCCCACTCAAGCCGCACACGGTGCTGCGCGGCCAGGACTGCACCATGACGTGCGCCTTCCTTGGGAACCCGCGGCCCACGGTGACCCTCTACAAGGGCGACGTCAACATCACGGCCAACTCCAAGTTCTGGTACAACTCCACCAGCGGGGTGTGCACGATCGTCATCCCCACCTGCACGCTCAAGGACAGCGGGGAGTACAGCGTGCTGGTGGAGAACGAGCTGGGCAAGGACCGCAGCAGCTGCGCGCTCACGGTCTACGGTGAGGGCACCCGCAGAGCACGCCTGGGGGCGGGGAGGCGGCCCTGCGTCCCATCTGGGCCAGAGGCGCAGGATGGCCGTCTCGGGGGTGCATTTTTTCATTTACTCTGCCAACAGGTGGTGTAAACATTTCACCAACGGGCCGTACTCGGTGCCTCTCGATGTCATTTGTTACATGTCTGGAGCCTCCAGGCTTGGGAGTTTGCAATCCCTCGGTAGACTGTAGTTTGCAACGCTTAGTGGGCCTAGACTTGCCTTTGAAAAAGTTACTGGTGATCGGGCCTAACCCAGACTGGCCAGGCACAATTTCCGTGGCCAGGTTCTAGAAGGAATTTTTATGTTTACGAGATTTTACAAGTGATTCTGATGTGCGACCAAGATTGAAAGCTCCTGGTCTAGGATAAGGACAGGTGGGAAGCACCAATGGGAGGACGGGACGGAACCTAGTGGAGACCCTTCCTCTGCACAGGTGTGCCACACCTCTACCCAACGTGTGTACGTGCAGGGGAAGTGTTTTCTCTTCCTACACACTCTTTTCACAACCACACAGCTAGTAGCAGGACCTCTCCCAATGCAGAGCTGACCTGCCCTGCTCCCTTTTACTTAAACTCCCTAACTCTCCCATGATCTTCTGGAGGAAACCCCAAGCAGCAAGGCTCCCCACACTGTCTCCCCTGTCCCCCACATCTACTTTTCCAGCCTCATCCTCTGCCGCTCCCTGAACCCTCCGCGGCGGTCCTCTGGTGTCCTGCTGTAAGTCCCGTTCCTCAGGGAAAGACCACATCCTGTCGCTCTGTCTCTCAAGTACTCAGCTAGGTATCTGGCCCTGAGATGATGCCTCCAGGGCGGCTGCTGAACTGTGTGACAGAACTGGGCCAGGGAAGGCACTGTGGGAGACATCCAGCTTTCATTCCACAGCTAGAGAAATCCCTGACAGCTTAATTCTGGTTGTAAGCACGTGGGCCCACGGCCCTGGCTCCACTACCGTCCAGCCATGTGACCTTGGCAAACCACTCTGAGCCTGTTTTCTAATCTACTTCTTGGGGGCTGTCTTGAGGCTTAAATGAGATAGTGCACAGAAGTGACTGGCACAATGCCTGGCAAATATTGAGTTCTGAATAACTGGCAGCTCTTGGCCCCACACGCTCAGCTGACCTTGGGAGACGGGGGCCTTAACTGCAAGTCCAGCAATTTGGAGTTTCCCTTCCCCCTAGCAACACTGACAAATACTTGCTTTGCTCTTTCAGACAAGGATGACAAGTCAATTCTAGCGTCAGTCACCGAGAGTCTGCAGAAGAAGTCCAAGCACCTTATGTGATCTCCGGCCCAGCCCAGGCATCAGGAGGATGTTGTTATAGGTGGTTTCTGGGCCTATCCTGTGTGTGTCCCCAGTGACGGCGGCCCAGTTCGCTCCCTGGTGCTTGTCAGTGAAGTCATGGGACAATAAACTGACTAAGCTCACCCCTGCCTGTTCCTGAGGTTGGCATGGAGCAGGGACCAAGGATATGGGCTTGGGAGTGGATGGGGATACAGAGGACACACACCCCCAGAGCTTAGTCCAAACCCACCCGCATTGGGGGTGACCAGCCGCTTTTTGGCTGGGCCTTGGCTTGCCTTCCCCTCCTCTGCAGCGACATCGCACCCTCCCCTCCCCTCAGGGCAGGGGAGGACGCATCTTATAGGCTTCATTCTTCTCCGTCCTCCCCCCTTCACCCCCCCCCCAGCACTTCTTCACCAGGTAGATCTGCCCTCAAGAGTTCTGGGGTTTGAAGGGATCAGGGCCTTGCTTCTTTAGTGTCTAGAGTTCCTGGTATTTGGGAATTAATGCTTCTCAAAGCTAGAAACGATTGGTCATCCAGCTCACTAGGTCTCATACTTAGGTTTTACTGCAGAATCTTCCCAATTAAAAAAAAAATTGTAAGAAACTACTGGACTCCAAACAAGGATGGGGGGGGGTGGGGGTTGTCTCTGGGCCACTCTCTTCTACTTATCCTTTTCCTGTCTCCCATCAGGTATCTCTGTAAAAATCCTAGTCTGAAAATCACTAATTCACCCACCACCCACACGGGGCTGAGCCTCCTCTATCCTGTCCCCACGACTCTACAACCCTTTTACTAATGGCATATTCACCACCACCCAAGGCTTTCCTCTCTGCTTCTGGGTCAGAGCACTGCCCATTAAGATGCAAATGCCCCTGGAACAGGGTGACACATTATTTTGCCAGAGCTTCCCATCTAAAGTACAAATCAGCTAATCTAATCTTACTCCTCCCCACTGTTTAATGGAGCCCAGAGTTCAAGGAGAGAGGAAACACTTGAAGGGAATCTGGATCATTTTGGAACAGGCAGTAGGTCCGGGAGGAGGCGGGCAGCAGTAGAGGGCACTGGGTCACTAAGAGTCAGCAAAGGTGCTAGGTGTCCGTGCACAGGGGAATGCATCAAAGACAAAATCGGATGGTGGCAAATACTGCCCATCCCCCACCCTCCTGAATTATATCCACACCCATACACGTGACCAGGGAAGGGAGACCCACTCCAAAAGGCACCATGTCACCAGAGCCAGGGAGCCAGCCTGGCGCCAAGATGCACTGGCCAGCACTGTGACCCAGGCTGTAAGGACATCCAGGGCCCCTGGCACCATGCCCCCACCCCTTTCTCTCCAGGACAGGCACACGCCACACAAGCAGACAAGCAGAGCAGCCAGTGGCCCTTGGTTTTTATTTTTTTCACATGAACAGCAAAGGATGGCGTTGTCCCATCCTTGCTCCTTTTGCATTGAATGTGCCTTAGGTCTTATGACCCTAGAATGTCATTGGAGCCCTCTCCTCTTGCTCCCAGTGCAGAAGGGGCAGAGAAGAAAGCACTGATGGTGGTGGGATGGGGTCCCAGCTCTCTAAGCCAGGCTCAGCACCCCCTCAGCAACTCCCTGAGGCCCTCTCCCTATAAGACTTAGACAGCAGGACAGAGACAGATGGCACAGAAAGACCCAGACAGTCTGGGAGACAGACCACACACACACACACACACACACACACACACACACACAGAAATTCACACGCACAGACACACATACAGGCTGGCCCCTTCCTTTGGTATAGTTCACCCTAACCCTGGGGATAGGGTCTAAAGGTGGCGGTGGTGGTGGTGGGCCTGAGCTCTGGACTGGCCTCTGAGAGAGATGGGACCAACTTGAATCATTGATAGCCCAAGCTCCTAGGCCAGTGAAGTCCCCAGTCTTCCCCACCTGGGCAGACACCCCTTCACCTTCCCACCCACCACTTAGAAACGGAGATAGTTCAAGTAACAAGGATAGATGAGGGAAAGAAAGATTCCATTCTCATCCAGTCTTCTCACCTAGGGGCCTGTGAAACGGGTTTCAAGCCCTGGGTTTGGGTCATCTCAGGTCAGATTTCTCCCCTCTTCACTCGACTCTTGTGCAGATCAGAAAGAATGGGAGTGGGGTGAGTCAGACTCTTCCATCTAGAAGCGGGGGGAGGTCAAGACGCTGAGCACCATTGCCCTCTGGAGGGGCTTTGACAGCCCCTATGGGGTTAGAGGTGGGGAGATGTCTAATTCTGGCTCCAGCAAGGAGAATTAGGCTGGCTCTTTTTATCTGTAAGCATTGTTCTGGAACACCAACTTTGCTAGAGAGATCCTTTTCCTGCTTACCCCCCTTCAAACGTGTACATTTCCCCAGTGGTATCTACTCTCCAGGTCAGTCCTGCAGCCATCCTGACTCAGTTCTTGCAGGTTCTGGACCCCTCCCCCAGGAGGAGAGAGGGGTAACCACACCCTGGCTTCTCAATTGGCCTTGCTCAGTCTGTAGTCTTCCACTGGCTCCCGGCTCTCAACAGCTGACAAGGCGATGAGCATCTGGGCAGCATAGTAGGTGGACATGATGAGTGCCCGCGAGTAGGGCACAGGGAAGCAGAACTTGTTGAGGGCGATGGTCAGGTCTGAGATGATAAAGAGCAGTGCACCACTGCCTGCTGCCAGCTCAGTCCAGCGCCAGGCTGCCCCAACCAGCCGTAGTCCTGCCATAGCCCGCCAGCCCATGAAACTGATAAGGGCCACATAGACCCCCACCAGGTAGGTGAAGGCACCTGAGAGGCCTGGGTAGAGAAGAGCATAGCACAGGCCCGACAGCACTGCCATCACCAGACCTGTCCGAAGAGCCAGTGGCCGCATGCCAAAGGCCGAGGCGTAGAGCATGTGGGTCACAGCAAACATCAGCAGACCTGGGAGTGAGAGGGGATGAGGGGATGCTGAGGGCAGGCTCGGATGAGTAATGAGAGACATGGGGTGGGGGGGGGAGTGCTTAGGATAACCCAGGAACTTTGTTTGGGGTGTATCAGGGGTGGGAAGAAATCCACAAAGGTAAAGATACCACCCCCTCCCCTGAGGAACTCCAGAGCCGATCACCAGATCCTCTGTAAGGCAATCCTCCAATAAGGGTCCCACGGTCTTTGGCCTCACAACCCCTCAGATGCCCCATATTCTTGTTCAAAAGCTCCCTCTCCCAAATCCTTGGCCACCTAAGACCCTCTAGCGCCCAACCCCAGGATTCCTCCCAAACAGCTACTATGGCAACTGACCGTGCACAAAGTAGCCCTGGTCTTGCCAGATGAGGAAGGCATCACCTAGAGCGGAGAAGACGAGCCCCACAAAGATGCGGGTGGCACTGGGGTGGGTCAGCAGGAATCCTAGGCCATGGGCCAGAAGGAAGAGCCAGAGGCAGAAGATGGGCAGGCACTTGATGAGGGCGCTGACCCACGATGGGCTGGACGAGGGCAGCCAGAGCACAAAATACACGCAGGTGGCCTTGAAGAAGGGCACCAGCTTGGGTCCCTCACTCTTCACCTGGAGGACATAGGACAAGGGCAGCACTCAGCACTTACGAGCTCAGAAGATCACAGAGGTGTTCAGAGCCGGCACCCTCAGCCCAGACGTATACCCCAGAGCCAGGCCCACCTTCCAAGTAGGGAGGGTTGACACGCAGAAATTCAGTCTGGCCTGTCCCAACTAGCCAGCAGAGTGTAAACATGCCCATCATCACCCTGAAGCTTAATTGATTAGGAAGGGGAGGGGCTCCACTTTCCTGCTGCCCACATCCACTCTTGGCCCTAGGGCAGGACCAGAATGGTCACTCACTGAGCAGAAAACAGGTCTTGGGACAAAGTCCCCTCCCGTAGGCCAATGCTTCTCCTTTCCTGGCCCCTCCCTGTCCCTCCAAAACCCCTTTAACCCGTCTCTGCCACCATCAGCCACCAGCTGTCTGGAATGGAGTGAAGTCAGCAGGAAACCACAGAGACGCCACAACTAGCCGCCTTGTGATCTTCTGCAGTGGGGCCAGGGCACAGGCTTAGGGCCCTGGCAACACCGGGTGAGTGCCAGCAATGTGTGAGGGTGGGCACCTCAGCCCCCACAGGCTCTTTCTTGGCCAGCCTGCTCCTCAGCCTCCACTCCAGCTGCCCCTAAAGGTACCAGCCTAAAGGTACCAAGAAGGGCAAGGAGAGGAGACACGGATGCTGGCTAGAGAAGGATTTCAGGGATTGGAGAGTTGCAGGGGGTTGTCTGTCGGTCAGTCTCATTTCTCTGAGAACAAGAGCAACTCAAGAGCTCATGAGAAAGAGGCAGGAAGCGGGGGAGGAGTTCTCTTTCCAGCTTTTGCGCTGGAGCCAGCAGACTGGCTGGGAGGAGATGTGGAACTGAGAGGGGGGAAGTAACAGCAGCTGACTTGGCCTCAGACGGATCAGGGGGGAGGGCCACTAAAGAAAGGTGTGTCTAAGGCCACTGCAGGTACTCTCCAAGCTAGGGAGGGGGGCTACTGCAGATATCCTCAATCTGTGACACCCTGAAGCTCCTTTGCTTGGGCTTCTGGTACAGGGTCTCTGTGGATGGTTCAGAACGGTTGAGGTTCCCTGTATACCCACATTCTGCCCAAAATGATTGTGCCTCTGGCTGGGTGAGCTGTCCAGCACAAGGCTCTGGGAACACACTGACTTCCAGACTGCCAGTTACCTGACGGCTGATCGGACTGTGATGAAGGAGGTTGGGAAGAGGTAGATGGGTAGGTCCAAGGTCCAAGCCTGCCCTTGCTCTGAGGGGAGTGAGAGCAGGGAGAAAAGATGACTAAGTCCCTTCCTATGGAGATCTCCCCCCATCCAGGCTCGTCAGGGCAGGCGCATGGGCGGAGGAGGAGACTGGAGGAGATGGACAGCCACACAGTCCCCAGTTCTCCCCATCAACCACCAGCCTGCCCTTAGAAGCATCAAGGTCTGCTCCATACCCGTCCCCCAGCCCCATGTGTCCTATGAGGAGAAACAGGCAGTAGTAGCTGGCGAGACTTTGACAATCATAGAGAATCCAACACTAGAAGAGGAAGGGTGGGGAAAAGAGACAAACGTTCGAGTTGAGAAAGTCTGAATGGGAAGCAATGTCAAGAGAGAAGGACCCCTCTTCCTCCAGCACATTACCAATGCTGCTTGGACTCAGGGACATCCCCTCCCCCGCCCCAGACTTGTTTATGAGATAAGGAACCGAGGGAACAGATTTGGGCCAGGATTCCCAGGAGGGCCCAGTCACCCTCCTGCCCTCCCCGCCCTCTCCCACGCCCTCTCCCACGCCTCCCTGTGGTCTGCCCACGCAGAACCGCCGGCCAGCTGCTGTCCTCTACCTCTCCCCGGCAACCAGCCCGCCGACCCGCGTCAGACACACAGACATCAACAAAGTCACGCTTCCGAGTCACATGCCCACTGTTTTCCTCCCTCCGGCGGGCGGGCGGGCAGGGGCTGTGTGGAGGAGGGGCGCCGCGGGTCCAGGGAGCGGTGGGGCCTTGACAGCGCCCACCTCCCTCCCGGGGACGCCGACCGCCGCGAGATCCCTGCCCCTTCCACGGCCCCCGGCGGCCTGGCCTGCCGCAGCCCAGTCCCCAGGCCGGAGCTTGACACCAGCTCGTCATCCTTGCGCACTTCCCACAGTGACTGAGGGACCTCGGCGAGCGTGGCCTTGGCAGCGCTGGCATCCTCCAGGCCCGACTGCAGCCAGGACGTCGCCCTGCGGTAGGAGAGCAAAGACGATAACAAAGCCCGGGGTGACGGACAGTACCTCCCGCTCGCCGGGCCGGGCGCTTGGGTTTCTGTCTGCGATCCCCACGACGTCATAGCACCCACGGCCAATGAGCGGCCTGGAGTCGGGGGGCGGGGCGCTAGAGACCCCGCCCCTCTGGGAACCTGTGCCAGGGCATCCCAGAACGTGACCGTGACCCCCCAGGCCCTGGACGAGGACCGAGCTTGACTGAGAGACAAACACATTCCTGTAGTGTACACGCGGCCACACACATCTTCTCCTAACCCTGGGGATACAAGGCGATTCCCTCCCGTCTTTAAACATGCAGCACACACGGACATAGTTACGATTAGACCCACAACCTTCACTGCATACCCACACATGTCTACAGGACACACAATGGGCAGGGTACACACAGTCTTCAAGCTGAAAAGAGACACTCAAATAGGTACACAGCAGCCCATAGACTCGTAGTCCTAACGTATATACAAACATGTACAGAATCACAATTACCTTTAGGCATCATACAAGTACTCAGACACAAACCCAGAAACCGCATTTGGACTCCCATCCCTCATGGTAAAAACAGGGACACATATACAGGCACGCAGCAGCCTCCGGAGCACCGATACTTAATTGCTCTTGGGCACACGCCTCTCATAGCTCAGAGAAGACAGTAACATGAGAACATACCAGAATGACTTGACAGGCAGACCTGAGCATACTTAGGGACCCGAAGGAGTATACTAACTTTCTCAAAAATCCGGCTTAAGCAAATTTAATGTCTGTATTACACAGACTAAAGGTACACAGGCACATTTGGAACCAAGTCTCATCAGAATCATGGGAATTACATGGGTGGACAGGTATGCAAATGGACTGAAATCTAGTCCCAGTTTTGCCACTTGCATGCTGTGTGATTGGTAAATCACTTCCCCTCTCTGGCTTTGATTTCCTTATATATAAGATGAATGCATAATCTGTAAGTTTCCTCCCAAGCCCAACGTGTTGTGTAGCATGGGGACGAGCGGGCTGTTGGTGTCAGGAAATACAAGTCCAAGAGGCTTCCTGAAGACAGAGATTTCAGATACTGCTTAAAGTATGACCGGGGGTCTTTGACCTGCAGTAGGAGGGAAGTAGCTGTGTGCCAGGCTTTGGGGACTCGGGTTGGGTGGGAGGGAGTAAGCAGCCCTAATTAGCCCTAATTAGTAGCCAACAAGGAGTTTTAAACATCCTGGGATGACACTAAGGCCCTAGTGCTGGACCCCAACCTCATGCTGGGCCAGGAGAAGCCTATAGGCTACCTTCTGTGAGCCTCCCACAATGGGCCTCTTTCTCTTTTGGGACCTGCCCAGCTTTCCCCAAAGCCTGTGCTGACCTGACACCCACTTGGAGTGGGGAGGAGCCCTCTTTCAGTGATGGAATTGACAACCAGCGATTCAGAGCCAGGGGCAATAGGGTGAGAATCAAGACTTGAGATTGGGGGTCACCCACAGCCTTCCCCCATCCCCTCCAGGCCCCTTCTGCATAGAGCCTCAGTGGGCAGTGAACTCTGCCTGCCCTGCTTTATCCACAGTCAGGGTCTGTGGGGAGACCTACCTTACCAGAACGGGAAACTAGAATTGCTGCCCTGGGGACTTGGTGCAGCGCGAGCGCGCACACACACACACACACACACACACACACACTCCTTCCTGCAGTGTCCTGCCTAGGAAAAAGATTGGATTGAGAGTTACCAATACTGTACTTAGTGCTAGTGATTTACTAGCTGTGTAAATCTCTGTGACTCCCTAGCTGTGTAACTGGGCACATCATTCCATCTTTGGAGCCTGTGTTTCCTCATCAGAAAATGGAGAAATAGGGCTAGAAGATATGGGCAGACATTTCAGTTTTCCAGCTAAACCCTTTATTGTCACCTAAGGGATAGTTCTCAGAGCATGGCTGAGTCAGGGCACTTTTCGTTTTTCTTCATGTTAGTTTCCCTGTGATAAACATGAGAGAATGGGACTATAAAAGTGGTTCTTAACGAGCGAGACCTGTCAAAATTACTTGGGAAACTTTTTAAAAACGTACATACCCTTGTCCTACCCCGGACCTACTAATTGAGTGGCACAGATCTTAATAAGCTTGGATACCCAAATACCCAATTACATAAGACCTAGAAATGTCATCTGCAGGGCCTGAGCCAATGCTTGATTACTCCATGGGCAATAATCGTATATATGGGTCACATGCAAAGCAGGGGCATATCCCCCAATGCTGGTTATTCTCTGTCCTCTCACTACCCAGTTCCATTCTCAGCCCTTCTCTACCCTACCCCTGGAAACTGACCTCTATGAACTGTATTTCCAGGTCTCACTTGCCCTCTGGCTTCTGACTGAGCTTGGCTCATGAGAGTCAGAGGCAGATCTGAAGGTGGAAGGAAAGCATGGATGGGGTTCCCCCTCACCAGCTTGCTGGGCTGAGCTGAAGTTCTGGCAATGGCTGTGCTTCTCCATGGCTACACGTCCAGGCTCCTGCGCTGGACCTCAGACTTAGGGATGGCAACCTCTCTCTGCTGTTGCTGGTCTTAGGTAAGTGCCTCTCCAGCCTTAACTGTTTTCCTTAACCCTGCCCACATCTCTGCTAAGAGTCATTACATTCTCTTCTGTTGTATTTTTTTTAATGTTTATTTTTGAGAAAGAGAGAGACAGACCATGAGCGGGGGAAGGGCAGAGAGAGAGGGAGACAGAATTCAAAGCAGGTTCCAGCCTCTGAGCTATCAGTGCAGAACCCAAGGCAGGGCTTTAACTCATGAACTGTGAGATCATGACCTGAGCTGAAGTTGGACGCTTAACTGACTGAGCCACCCAGGCACCCCTCTTCTGTTGTATTCTTGAGTGTACAAGCACCTGGACTGATACAGTTGCCAACAAAGCAAAGGTGATGCCCCCTTCCCAAAAAGAAGGAGCTTATGCAATTTCATGTCTATGGATAAGACTTCTTGTTTGTTTCAAAAATAAAAGTTTAGGGGCACCTAGGTGGCTCAGTCGGTTAAGCATCTGACTTTTTAAAAAATTTTTTAAACGTTTTTATTTATTTTTGCGACAGAGAGAGACAGAGCATGAGGAGGGGAGGGGCAGAGA